AGGCCACCACCCGCCCGTCCGCCCTGATGATGACGCTGCCTGCATGCAATAGTTAGTGATTTGTAGCCAGCGCTGCTTACCCACTGCTTCTTCTTGGTCTGGGAAATCAGTTGCTTGTGCTGGCTGGCTAGCTTCTTAACCTCTTCTAAAAACTCCTCTTTGCACTTCTCCTTCACCTGCTTCGTCTTCCTGTCGCACTCTGTCTGCATGTTTGCAACAGCTTTGTTCACAGCCTGCCTTTTTTCCTCCTCCATATCTGTACGCAGCTGGGGGGGGGCAAAGAAGCAGGTGAGCAGGTGAATGGACACAGCAGTTTCCACCCCCCCACACACAAAAAACAAACACCCAACTTGCAACAGGTAACACTCCACATTGCCAGCTGCTTTCCAATGTGGAAATGACCCCACATCACCCCTTCTGATTCACACTGTGCCCACTTTCCTCTAGATGAGCTAGCGCTATTCTTGGCAGTTCTCCTCGGCTGCCGTTTGGAGTCGCAGGCATCGGCCTGGGCGCTGGAGCAAAGCTGCCAAGTGGCTTGTAGGGATCAAGTGCGCTGGATCTGCCTCAACAACAAAAAACCCTTGAGATTTCGCCAGGCTGTGTGCCCGCACTGGGGCAAAAGGCACAGAGCAGCTGCACCAACTGATCTGCACAGCCTGAAATCCAGGCAAGTGCCACAGCTGTGTTTCTGGCACGTGTAATGCATCACGGCTGATGCTGCCGCATTGCTCCAGTTTAGAAGATGTATATGTTCTGTCTCAGGCTGCAACACCCATGGCACAACCAGGTGCAGACGCAATCTCATTAAAAGCAAAGGAAAACACTCCTCTTTGAAATCATTGTTGATTGAGAAGCCAGCTATAACATCATGTATATGTCTTGCACAGGATTTTTTTTAAATAACAAACTGCTTTGAGGATTAGAATTAATCAACATCCTCAGCAAAGATTGTTCTCTTCCTGACGTCCCTGCTTCTGTTCCTTTTAAATCCCAGGCCACTCCTTCATGTGGGTGTTTGCCCGACTTTATGGGTTCTAATGCAGCAGAGGTGGGGAACCCCAGATCTTCCTCTTCCCATTCCCACGGGCCAACTTTGGCAAGTGGGTGGGGAAGACCCACCTGTCAAAGGGGTCTGATTTGCCTTTCCCTCGGGGAACGCGCTGGCAAAGCAGCACCAGCAGGACTCGACCATTGGTTCACCAGCTGATGAGAAGCTTCTACCTTGCTGCCTGCAATGGGTCTTGCTTCAGCAGCACAGAACACACTGAAGCAGCCCCCAGCAGGATCAAACCCTGCCCTGCTACTAGTCAGTTGATGCTACCCCAGTGACATCAGCTGGTGGACAGGTGGGTCTGGTTTGGAGGAAGATGGTTTTGTTGGCCAACCTGGAATCCCTGGAAGGCCAAGAGTAGCTTGCAGGCTGGCGTTTCCTCACCCCTGCACTAGTGCAATAACAACAATTTATATAGTGATTCTCTTCCACCTTAGCATGCCTTACAAAAGCCATGCAAGGCAAGGCATTTCTCACTGGTGTGCCACGTTTCTGCCACGCAGCCAACGTGGTGCCCTTCAGATGTTGCTGGACTCCAATTCCAATCACCCTTGATCGCTGGCCATGCTGGTTGGGCTGATGGGAACTGTAGTCCCAAAAACACCGGGAAGGCACCCCGCTGGCCTTAAGTCACATTGGGAGCAACACATGTGGCTGAAGCAACATTTAAGCCAGCTCACATTCTACACACCAATGTCCCCCTACAGGCGGTGGTCCTGTACTGCTCCCACAGGGATTGAGGCCAGGGACTCTTCTCCAACAGCCTTTGCTTTTAGAAGAGTTTACCTGGGAAGGGATCAACCGGGGTTATCACCCCTGTGTGGAACAATAGGTACACTCTGAAGGAAGGGGGAAATTGATACATGGTGGTGTGAAATTTGAGGATGGTATACAATTGGAATTAACGCCTTCCCTGGGGTCAGATTTACCTTCTCAAGAGCTTCTCGCACCACCCTCTCCGTCTCCCTCTTATGATCAGCCTTGAACCTTTCTTTGAAGTCGCTGAAGATTTTGGTGTATTTGTCATGGCACATGTTTTGACATACTCCGTCGTTATTGGTCTGGGTGCTCCGATGCAGCATTTTTGGAGAAGAGGCACTTAACTTCTTTGTCTGGGTTGACACGGAAACTTTTTCGATGGGTTGAGGCATTGTGGGGATTTCCTGGCTCGAACTAACTGCTTCCGTCTCAGGCTCCGGCTCCTGGGGGAAACCAACAAAACGACTCCTCTTAATCACCAGTGGAGATGAACGTAATCATCTGGGTTTCAGATATACAGAGTGGGAAGACATTGAAGCAATGTGCAAATCAGGTCCAAACACACCTGAAGGCAAAAGGAGCAACGCTATATAGTATTACAGCACTACAACAATTACACAGCTGACCATGCCAGTGCTGCAAAACTACCTAATAAGGAGGGGGAGAAAACACATCTAGCATAGAAATGAATTAACTTGCCAGCTTCTCCTTGAAATCTTTCAGTCCCAGCTGATCATTACAAGAATTCTGAAACTAAGAAACAGAGACTTTGGTTTTCCCCCCTCTTCCCTTCTCAGTGCTTTTTCCTTCTGTGTTGTGTCTTTTAGATTGTAAGCCTGAGGGCAGGGACTGTATGATTAGTAAACCCCTTAGTAACCCCCTCTGAGCCTTGTTTGGTTGAAGAATGAGGTGAAAATGAATGAATGAGTATTACTACACACACAGAATAAGGGCTGTAGGTTTACAGAACCAGAGACTAGGTGTCTCTTGACTTTGGCTGTACAGGTTGGGGCAGATGTAACACTGACCATGAGATAGGAAGCAGGCTGCAGGTTAGTGTACACACTTTCCCTCCCTTCCCAAACTCTGCTTAAGGCGGGAGCCCTGGTTATGTACAGTGAAAGTTGGCACAGATGCAATGCTAAACCATGGTTAAGGCAAACAAGGGAAGCAAGGAGGAATTTGCACGGAAGATGGCAAGAGAGAGTGCTCTCCATCTCCTAACTGCGGTTAAGAGATTGGCAGTGTTACATCTGCCCCAGGCCACGGGACTTGACGTTGTGGAATTTTGAGCTTTCCAGTCACTTAAGTGACAGAACAAGCGGGTGTCACTTTTAGCAATCAATCCTTAATGAAATGAGAGCACAGTTTATTTACATAGAACTGCATTTAAAAGATCCAGATTGGAGAACTTGGTCCAAATAGGTAAGACAGCTTCAAGCAGTAATTTGGAACAGTAATGCACTCTTTTAAGAAATGGCAATCGCTCTTCTGACATTCACACAGTCAATAGTAATGGAGTATAAACTGAATTTGTGAATGATAAGAAAGAAAGGATGCCTCTCAGAATTTTTTTCTCCTGCCTTATGCATAGGTGCATGTACCAAATTTGCTGTTTCTTACTTCCTTTTTGGGTTCCACGCTTTGATTACGTCTTCCTTTCTTTGCCCTTGGTTCCTGAGTAACCTTTAGCTGGAGATATTGTTGAAAAAACAATATAGTATTAATTCAAATGCCATAAAACACTAATTCAGAATTGCTGATAAGTAATGAGTATTTTACTTTTATTTCTCTGCAAAAAGAAGAAGTTGACTATATATAAAAACACAACCTACAAAATAAATGGTTCATTAATATCAATTAATTTATTTCTATATGCTGAACTACGTAAAGCAAACTAAAAGAATACCAAGCCTTTGAAAAAGCCCCCAAGGAGGATACAGTGCTAAGGATACAGTGCCAAGCAAGCATGTTTGAACCGCAAGGATGTAACCAGATCTCATGGTGACATTGCCTCAGTTATTAAGCTATCATATGGCCATAAACTTTAAGAGCAGGGTTTCCCAAACTTGGGTCTCCAGCTGTTTTTGGACTACAACTCCCATCATCCCTACCTAGCAAGACCAGTGGTCAGGGATGATGGGAACTGTAGTCCAAAAACAGCTGGAGACCCAAGTTTGGGAAGCCTTTTTTTGGAGCATCTGGGAAAGCCCATCTTCAAGGCAACTTGGAGCTTCCTTCCAAGAGCACAGATTGGAGGCACACTGAAATCTGGTTACATAATAAAATTAGGATAAATGAGGGAGGGATTCAGAGCAGAGTAGGTATTAACGTCACATTATGAACAGCCAACTTTCATCCATGCTAGGCCACAAAGAGCACAAAACCTGAAGCCAAATCAAACCAACTAAAATCTCAAACTTCATCTGAATCCAACAAGAAACAGACTACTAAATAAAATGTAAATCAGTAAGAATATGGCATATTTGCAGCGGCGGTGGGGGGCATAAAATATGTTTTGTGACTTTGCTTTCACTGACAATCATTTAGCTTTTAAACAGTGCATGAACCATTGCTCCAGAACCTCTATTAAGAGGCTGGAATCCACAAACTGACAGCCGTGCCAACATTCAGAGATTATTGATCAAAACTGCAATACAGATTAGGAATACGTGCAGCCATTCACCTTTGTTTTGCATGAACTGCCCTACAGATAACAAACAACTCACGCTTATATCCCTCTGGGTAACATGTCCTTGCAGAGGAATTAAAAATCCAACCCTGCTGTTGACACAGCAGAGGCAGCTGCTGTTAGTGCCACGACTGCAGCAGCATTAAATTGCACGGGCACAACAAATGAAATGGTTGCAGCTGTCCAATAGGTAGAAGGATCACATTTTAGTTTCCCAAATTCATGACTGAGTGGGGCTGGGGGGAATCGCATTGCACAAACAGGCTCATAAATGCAAAACAAAGGGGAACAGAATTTCGTTAGTAATGGCCATCAATGCATGTTTTACACATCATCAGCAGGACATGTTCACAGGACTGACATGCAACCAAATAATGTTGTGTATCATGCAAAAACAGGAAACCAGATCCTATCAGCTTTCGGCTCATCTGGCACAGTATTGTCTACACAGACTTGCGGTGGCTCTTCAGGGTTTCAGACAGGAGACATTTCCAGGCCTTAGGTGGCGCAATGGGTTAGTGCAGCTGGCTGTTAACCAGAAGGTTGGTGGTTCAAGCCTATCCAGGGACGGCTGTAGACAGGATTCCTGCATCGCAAGGGGTTGGACTAAGATGACACTCAGAACTGTAGATTTGGAAGGGACCCTACGATTCTAATGGGAAATGCCAGGGAGTAAACCTGGAACCTGGAACCTACTAATTGTAGAGCAGATGTTCTACCATTGAACAACAGCCACCTTGCTTCTGGTTTCTAGTCTGCAGTGGAAACCTGAAAGCCTGTGGACGCCTATCTTTTCATTCCTTGCTCAAAAACATTCTTGGAGAACCAGGATGTCAGGAACAAACTTTATAGATTATCATTCTTGCTACGAAGTACGGAGTGTTTCCGAGGAATAATAGCTGGTGCAGAATTTGTCTTACTTACTCAAAACAGGAAGATGTTCGGTGAGAAAGCAGACTCAAAAGAACAGCCTAACTTTGTGCACGAATCCACGGAAAGTCAGCCTTTACCTGCAAGGCTGATTTCCCAGGACGACTCACCTGCTCATTGCTGGTGGAAGAGATGCTGGATTCGGCCTCCTCCTCCCCTTTATCCTCGTTCTTTGATTTCCAGAACCTGCCGTCTCGAAGGAAGCGCTGGTGTAGTTCCAGCTCATCACACGCTTTTTTCCAGCCCATGCTACGTTTTACATGCAGCCGATGTATATTAACTGTGATCTCCTGAATATTTTCTGAAGGAATCCAGGCCCTGGACAACGTAAATTAAAAGTCATTCTTAAGAAAGCTCAGCTGCATGTTTGATTTATGCACACCCCTTGAAACTGGCTAGGGCACAGTTTCTAAAGTAGTGTTTTTTTCATACTGAAAGTCTATACATGAATTATCATAAGGGAAGATACCTTACAGTCTTTTGTTACAGGAGACCCTACCTGCCCGCGGACTGTCTTGCCAGAGTGGTGCATGCTCTAGTTATCTCCTGCTTGGACTACTGCAATGTGCTCTATGGTGGGGCTACCTTTGAAGGTGACCTGGAAACTGCAATTAATCCAGAATGCGGCAGCTAGACTGGTGACTGGGAGTGACCACATAACACCGGTCCTGAGAGATCTGCATTGGCTCCAGTACATTTCCGAGCACAATTCAAAGTGTTGGTGCTGACCTTTAAAGCCCTAAACGGCATCGGTCCTGTATACCTGAAGGAGCGTCTCCACCCCCATCGTTCAGCCCGGACACTGTGGTCCAGCGCCGAGGGCCTTCTGGCGGTTCCCTCATTGCGAGAAGTGAGGTTACAGGGAACCAGACAGAGGGCCTTCTCGGTAGTGGCGCCCACCCTGTGGAACACCCTCCCTTCAGATGTGAAGGAAATAAGCAGCTATCCTATCTTTAAAAGACATCTGAAGGCAGCTCTGTTCAGGGAAGTTTTTAATATTTAATGCTGTATTGTTTTTAACACTCGATTGGGAGCTGCCCAGAGTGGCTGGGGAAACTCAGCCAGATGAGCGGGGTATAAATAATAAATTATTATTATTATTATTATTAGCCTCATATGATGGGCCGGTTCAGATGCCAGTATTTAAAAACCCCATGAATCAGAAATGCACTATGTACCTGTGCGTTCCCCCCTCTCTTTAATTACTCAATTGAATACAAGATTTCAAGCTACAGTTTGCTGTGGTTTGTCAAGCCACTGTTTACTGTGATGTCGAAGGCAGGAAACTACGGCTTGAAGCTGACAGAAAATCTGCTTTGTAGGGAGTACTCAGATCACAGAGTTTCCCAGCTCAGGCATCACAGCAAGCTGAAGTTTAGCAAACCAAGAAATATTGAATTCAACTGGGTAAGCAAGCAGCACAAAGGCACATGGGAATTCCTGGGCTAACAAATAATGCTGACATTTAAATCGGGCCATAGATTTTCCACCTGAAGCTTCCCCCACCCCTTTTTTAAAAAATAGCTAGCATAAAAGAAAAGTGTTACCAAACGTGTTTCCCCTCTAGCAATGGTTCTATATTACCCTTCTTTCTTACTTTGCTTCTTACAATAAAACGGGTGTAAAAAAACAACAGCAGCAGCTCCTTAGATAAGGATATTTTTATTTGTATGTGGTTCTGACCTCATCCCATTCTGCACATGTCTAAAATGCCTTACAACTGTAAGTACCAATCTTTTATTCAGATTGCTATATGAAGAAATGAGTCAGGCAGACTTTGTCTCATTCTTTTATCTAAAATATGTTAGAAAGCATCCCTGCAGCAATTCTGAAAGCGAAATTTCTTGTGAGTCACTGAACAGTCCCTCATATCTTTTCTAAAATCACAAGAGTTAGGGAAAACAAAACATAGTCTATGTGGCTTGTAATTATTATTTTTTTCAGCTTAAGAAACAAAGAGGTAGGCTCATCAGAAGCTGCAGATATGAACATACCTTTGGTGGTGGTGACCAAAAAAGCGAACGTCCACCTGATTGTCCTCTTTCTGCATGACTTTGGCAGGCCAGAATCCGAAACCTTTCATTTTAGCCCAAACCAGCTCATGATTGGGTATCTAGAAATTAAAGAAAGATGTAAGTTGTAGAATGATGGCTGGCTATGGGACTTAAAAGTATTACACTCAACTGCAGAATCAAGATGAAACTCATCCATGATAGTGCTGAACAATGTCTTATACACAGAAGACATCAGGAACCATAAGATTTTACCTCTGTGAGCCTAACACCACAATGCAAAACCATTATGCCCTTTCCCTTTAGCTGCAGGCACAGCAAATCTGAGGTTGCTAGCTTAAATTTAAGTACTCTGTTAGAATTAGTTTGCACCTAAATACCAGGTTATTTGATGCCAACAGACACTGACCGACATGGGAAGTTCCAGGCACTTGAGCATTTTGTTCTCTTGCACATGGGAAATGCTCCATGCGCCCTTAGGAATCTGTGCAGGTTCGCCAGAGTTGCTGGATTAGAATCAAAAGTGTAAAACGAGTTTCAAGCCGGTACACCTGAATGCTTAACTGGTGCTTGTTCCTATCATCCAGTACTCAGAGATTTCATTCTGCAATCACAGCTGGTAGCCATTAATAGACCTTTGGGTTTTCTTTTGTGTTGGGTTTTTTTAATATAATGTTCTTTAAAAGGTTATCTGAGCTGCTGGCCATCACCATATATTGTGGCAGCAAATCTGAAAAATTAATCATGAGTAGCATGAAAAAGCAAACTGGAGGAGTTAAACTTACACAAGGATAGCAGAACCAATTGTCGGGACGCGCGTTCGATAAATAGAAACAGTTCTTGCAAAGCTGAAGTTCATCCAGCTGAAATGGGAAACAATCTGTAAGTATATTCTCTAGCATGATTATATTTTTGACTGGGGTTTTGACGTGGTCTCTGCCTTTGCAAAATTATACTAGCTGTACACGCCAAGAAAATGTTTAGCCTTAGCACTCTTTTATTTGTGCTGAGCATAAAACCAAAAACTTCTTCAATTTTTTAAAAACAAACTATGACATGAATATGAGAATAATTAGCAAACTTTAAAACATTTCCTACCCTCTAGAATAATTTGACTATGGAAGCACTAATACAACAATGTTTAACTCTATTTAGAGTCTCCGGATTTTTTTTTATTAAAGTGAAAAAGTGGCTTTGATTTTTGAAGCAGGTGTCAAACATCTCTGATCTGGATGAGTGCAAATGCATGAACCAGAAGCTAAAACACTTCACTTCTAATTCCGTCTCTTTCCATTAACTAATCAGCCACCTCACAAACTGAATAAAAATAAAATCCATTTTTCCTCTTCTGTTTGCATGATTTTAAAAATGCAGCTATGTAAGCTCACAGTTATATGGGAAGATAGAATAGCCAATAAGCTGGCTAAGACATGGTGCATTTTTAAAGCTGAAAATATTTACAAAACACAAAAGAGCGTCTCACTTGGGGCTCTCGATGTTGCATCAACTGTTGCATACGATTTACTTATTTCCAGGAAAACTTTCAAGACAAAGGGAACCATTTAGCATATGGAAACTGGTAGGCAATTATCCTGACACCAAATAGCACTGCCAGCCAACTTACTTGCTGGATATTACTCACCTCGTGGCAGGTGTCTTTGTAAAGCATTCTGGCAATATCAGCTTGCTCACTGTCCGCTGCAAATAAAGGCACACACAGCTAAGTATTTGCACACTTTTCATACAACCACCAATCTCTTATTAGCGTGAAGAACCAAATGGATACATTTATAATGGCTATTTACTAATTTCTGTTCTGATTCCTCAGAGCTTCTCAACAACTCTACAATTCTGTAGTTCTTGCCCTGGTGCTATTTGCCAGGACTATGAGCCAAAGTCCCCCAGAGCAAATATTTACACATGAAGGGCACGTTCGTAAACGCGCAATAGAACTAAGGAATCTGAGGTGCATCTTACAGACCTTCTGAATTTTGTCTTTTTACTGTGGGGAACACAACAGATGTGTTTACCAGACAGAGTATAATCTCTCAGTGATATATCCAACTATGGTGAGAAAGGGGTGTTTTCTGTTCCCCGGTACACGCACTATGCCGTTGGGCTTGCTAAAAGTCCTCTAGAACTATTATGTCTGAAAACACCTGCCTGCAGCACACCTGCTCTCTCAGTTTGTGATGTGCTAAAATTTCAACTGAGCAGGCTGGTCTCTGGAGGAGCTAAAGGGTGTGTTTTTGCTTTTGAGATCTCTGTGGCTCTAGCCACATTTAATCCTTCCGGCACATGCACTTCCGATAAGCACACTGGCGAGTAAGAGACAATGGCGGAGAGTAAAATAATGCATTCAGATTTGTAACTAGGGCCAAGCCAAACATTTATTGTTTTGATTTTTCGTGTCTGTTGCTGTTGCTCTTTCGGCAAGCTAGAAATTCCTACTCAATAAATAGGCAGTCTTTCTTGAGGGGAAAATGTCCACATGTTTTCTGAAGATGCTCTGAGGGTAGCAGTTTCCAGAGCGTGTGACTGTGAAGCACAGAAGCAAACCCTAAAGGATATACATTGGGAAGTACTTGGCAGCCAAAATAGCTGTACAGTCAAGAAACCCTGCTCCAG